TACTGCATCCAGTTTTGGTCACCACGATGTAAAAAAGATGTTGAGACTCTAGAAAGAGTACAGAGAAGAGCAACAAAGATGATTAGGGGACTGGAGGCTAAAACATATAAGGAACGGTTGCTGGAATTGGGTATGTCTAGTTTAACGAAGAGAAGGACGAGGGGGGATATGATAGCAGTGTTCCAATATCTCAGGGGCTGCCACAAAGAAGAGGGAGTCAAGCTATTCTCCAAGGCGTCTGAAGGCAGGACAAGAACCAATGGATGGAAACTGATCAAGGAGAAAAGCAACTTAGAACTAAGGAGAAACTTCCTGACAGTTAGAACAATTAACCAATGGAACAACCTGCCTCCAGAAGCGGTGAATGCCCCAACATTGGAAGTTTTTAAGAAGAGACTGGACAGCCATTTGTCCAAAATGGTGTAAGGTTCCTGCCTGAGCAGGGGGTTGGACTCGATGACCTCCAAGGTCCCTTCCATCATCATCATCATCATCATCATCATCATCATCATTATTATTATTATTATTATTATTTGGATTCCTTATTTCTTTCCTTTGCCAGGCTTAAATCAATTTTGTCCATTTCTGAGTTAATTAATTAATTTAATAAATATCCACAAAAATGTTTGGGGAGAGAAGAGAGAGAGAGAGAAAATTATTCTCTATGCTGGTAGCAAACAACACCGTTTTCACACAACCTTTATTGTTTGCCAAGTGATTTCCAAGTCCAATGTAAAGTGCTTCTATTCTATAAAACTCTTCCTAGTTTGGCAGCTGCTTACCTGCAGTACTGCCTTCTTTTGTCAGTTTCACCCAAACCAACATTTTTTTCCCAAGAAGAAGCTGCTGCAGATCCTACATTTTGAGGAGGTGTGAGGGACTGAGGCAAGGAGGTGCTATTTTTCTGTCAACAGAATGCCAATGTTCTGAAACAGACTCCCCGTGGAGATCTGGTTGGCTCCATCTTTTCTGGTTTTTTTTAAAGCTCTTAAGACTAAGCTGTTTTGGATACCCTAAATTGCAATTTAATGTTGTCAATTTCTTTATTCTTTTTTTATATTGAGGCATTGCTGTTGTGTTTTTATTTTTTGTATTGGGTATGTTTTATATTGTATATTTTTTTCCATCTAAGTTGACATGCTCATGAAAACAAAAAGTTTAAGGAATTCTGGTTTAGAAAAGATTTTTTTATTTTCTGTTTTACTTTGTTTTTTTATTCTGGCTGTATATAGATATAGCCAGAATAACACATATACTGTGTGTGTGTGTGTGTGTGTGTGTGTGTGTGTGTGTGTGTGTGTGTACACATATACCTACACACATATATACATACACAAACACAACTTTTCTTTCAGTCCTCCCAATAGAATATGTATGGGATCTAAAAGTCATAAGAGTAAAAACACTGATTTCCATAAAAGATTAGGAAAGATTCTATGAAATGTTGTATTCTAATTCAAATCCAGCATGGATCCACATAAATTGGAGCAAGGATGTGGAATAGCAACAGTATCTTTTAGTATATTTTTCCAATTATGTTTGAACTTATCTATGGACAAAGGACTAAAATGGTAGTATAAATGCTCAAAAATATCTACTAAACAGCAATGAACTAATATGAATGTGTATATTCAGAGATTCCGCATGATACACTTCTCTAAAATTTTAATTTATTATGTTTTTCAGACAGTTGAGGAGATTGAAGGTGTGCTTGGGCGGGATTTGTACCCAAATTTGGCTGAAGAAAGGTCCCGATGGGAGAAGGAACTGGCAGGTTTGAGGGAAGAGAATGAAAGCTTAACGGCAATGTTGTGCAGCAAGGAAGAAGAATTAAACAGAACTAAGGCCACCATGAATGCTATCCGTGAAGAACGAGACAGATTACGCAGAAGGGTGAGATTTCCTGATTGACATCTAATTTTGTGAGAAAAATGAAGTTGCTACAATAAAGAGCTGTTTCATCTCTCTCTCTCTTTCTCACTCTATCTTCTAAATTGGAGGGGGTTAATAATTTGGCTGATTCTTCTTTTCCCTAGTGCTGCTAGGGTTGCCAGTAAAAGGTAATACATAAAGTAATCCCAACCTGTCCAAGTGTAGAATCCTTAGCATTTCCATATTGACTTTCACCTCAGCTCTAAGAAATATAAAGGAAGGTACTTTATATCTTCCTTCCCAAAATCCAAAAATATAGAATTTAGCAAAATCTTGTGAACCTCCTAGAAACACAATGAATAGTAGTGCAGTCTGGTGCCTGGGAAACTTTTAATCAGAAATTCCATTTTTAAACAAATGAAGCCAAAACTCTAGATATAAAGAAGACAACAGGAAAGCAACAATCACACATAGTATTCCAGATAAAAATAATTCAGAGTATCAAACTAAATTGTATGTATTATTATTTGCAAAAAATCTTGGCTTTCCAAATAAGTTCAGAGTTAATTGCAGAGAGGATGGCTTGGAACAGAACATCTGATCTGCCTTAGGGCCTTCGAGTTTAATAGAATATACAGGATAACAAAACACTAGCATCTTTTGGGTGATTGGTGCTTTCCCCAATTAAGCAAACAGTTCTGCCTTTAATGATCTAGTCAACAAATTAAAAAAAATTATCTGCCAGCTGAAGTTATAGTCCTAGAAATCTGATACTGCTGACTAGTTTTTTACAGTTATGCCGTTGTATATAAAGGATTTTATGGAAGAGACTTCTGAGAATGCAAAAGATTAATTCTGTCTTCCTAGTGTTGGGGTAGGGCTGAATCAGACTTCATTGATATTTTGAAGAGTGCACTTCAATCATATGTGGGGCAGGAACCTTTTGGAAGCAGGATGTTTAATATCTGTGGTGTATGTTGATTGCATTGAACATGTCTAATACAAATATATATAGCTATATATTTATTTCTCACTGAAGCTTCATTTTTCACATAATTTGGATTTGGGAATTTACATCAGCCTACTTTTATAATTTTCCTTCTCATCTGAGGAGGTTGCACTAAAAATAGTAATTTCTGAATGCATTTCTTATTCTCTCATTTGTTATTTTCACGGATCTGCTGTTCTGCTATACAAATAATCTCACTATCCAAACTTCTATTCAGCACAATTTAATGTGTCTTTCAGTCCTAGAAACATATTGTGTATCTAATCAAGTGTATGGTATAATTAGAGCAATAGAGCAGAAACCTTTTAAAAGTGCATAGATCAGGAGTATGCAATTGTTTGAAAGTTGTTCTCTTGTCAGTGTACTAAAGCAGCAATTCTGAGCTGAAGGGACCCAATCAGTCCATCACTCAAAAAAGCAGAAACTTAAGTTAGTCTTTGCATTTAAAAAAAATTACAAACAAGTTAAAGATAAGGTATGAAGCTAGAGTTTCCATTGTGTCCATGTTAAAGAAAGGGCTTATATGCCACCCATAGCTGTCAGCTTTCTCTGCTATCTGATAATGAGGCTTTTTAAAACAGCTTCCCTTGCCTTCATGTCTTCCAGATCTATTAACCTAACATTGGTGCAGAATATTAAATTGTAGAAAATAAATTTAAAGTACCAGATGGCCTCAATTTTTCCTGGTCACTCTATTCCATTCTCCAGCTTTCAAATGTTGCTCATCTATTAATTCATCTTAGCAGTCAAATATTGTTTTGGGGTAAAAAAAATTGCTCCATTGCAAAATTCATTTTTATCTCTCTTGATTTTCTTACAGTGAGCCTTTTGAGGGATTTTATCGTTGAAAAGTAGATTATGGGGTTGTAGGGTTTTTTTTAGTTTTAACTAAAACAAAAAGTTTAGTGATAATGGAATACATTTTATTTATCACACAGAAGAATTTTATTCAGATCTGTACTTCTGCTATTCAAGGACCTTAGATTATCCTCAAGATCCAGCCTAATGCTGATTTTTTTTTAATATATATCAGTAGACATGATGTACAATATGTGATCTTAATTTATCCAGAAAAGGGGAGCTTGGCAAACTATCTTTTTTTATCTAGGTGTAAAGCAATCAAAAGGTGTTTTGTGCCAACAGTTGAGACAGTTAAATCTAATTGCAAGATTGTAAAATATGCATTTTTTCCCTAAGATTCAGCATTTAAACCCCCTCCCCACTTTACACAAATTCCTTTCTTTCCCAGTGGCTCCTTGGGGTTCTTTTTTTGTCCTAAGCTGCAACAGCTGGTCTTAATAGGATAAATTGTCTTCCTTCTATTTACCAATGAAATTCAGTTGTTTTTTAACCGTAAGTTTAGAGTAGCCGTCAGAAAGCAATAGAAGAAATGACCAGATTGAAATGAAAAAGAAATTAACCTTAATTTTGAACTAGGACATGTTTTTAAATAAAATGACTTAATTTTAAATAATTCAGGCTCTGCTTTATATTTGAATCAGAGGGGTCAAGTAGAAGAAGGAGCTTTGCAATTATTTCTCTGATGCTGTATATATGTCTAGGTACATGTCTATGTATAAAAACACATGCATTCCCATACACAACTTTTGATATAAATGTTTAGTGGGCTGCGGAGAAATGCCATTAGCTGGTGAAAAGACTATGGGACAACCTGCACCAGGATAGTCTTCTATCACGCTAGTCCTAGTGTGATGGCACTTCCTTGAAGCCTACCAAACAAATGGTCAACGGGATGCTGAGAAGTATTTCAGTAGTTGGGGAAAGTATTGGTAGGATCGTAGGAAAAAGAAATTCCAGCGAGAGGTATTTATAACAGGTCCTAAAGGAGCCTAGCAAGATATGAATGTAGTCCATGAGGTTCTGTCCCTGGTATGTCTATTCAAGTTATCCTACTTTCTATAGTGAACAACTTTTTTTCAATACTCAATAACATGAATAGGAAAGTTATATTTATACTCCATGAATGCATTTAAATCCATTTTGAACCCAGGTCCTTATCACATTTTATGGGAATTAAATATATAAAATAACATTTTGATCCCTGTGCTTTTGTTCAGAATAGATCCTGCACTGCAATTATTGATCTCCATCCCTGAAAGAAATAGTCTCACTTGGTGTAAAATCAAAAGTAATATAGTTCTTTCTTTTTCTTTTTTCTTTGCTATTGTTAATTTGTAAATTTTGGCCCATAACACAAAAATTGAAACATAGGTTTCTGATCACCTAATGCAGAATTGTTATTCTTCATTTTCTCATTGCATATTGAAAATTAGGAAAACCTTGTACTCTAAACTAATGCTAATTTGCTTAACAGTAAGTTTATTTCTCCCTGGAGGAATCTGTCTGTAACAAATGTCCATGTCAGGCACATGATGTAATGGTGTGCACCAGGGAGCTTATTTGCATTTGTAATACAGACTATAGCTGCCACACAAATTAATGTTTTCTGTGACCTATTAAATATTTTATATATGCAACTCTAACCAAATGGGACTTTATATTACTTCCCTAGGGGATGCAAAAGAAACCCTTACTTTAAATTTAGTTTTTCTTCTGTACACATTAAATTGGGTACATAAAAGAAGTCAAAGCTTAAGAAATCAATAGGGCTGTTTGTTACTTTAGTCCAATATCTGTAATCAAACAAAGTGCTCTCAGTTGGGGTTTGGAGGCTTGTTAGAGGGTTAATTAATTTAGATATTTAATGTATTCAGTTAACAGTTTGTTCTATTTTTGAGTATAATAACTAATGACACGTACCTCTTCAAGGTCATTAGTAAATGAAGTAATTACTTACTTTTTAAGGGTGCACATAATGTAGCTTCTTTGCAGAGTAGCCATATAAAAAAAGAGCAGTCAGATTATTAGATTTGTTTGCTATCTGTAAAAAACATTTGTACTGAAATATGCATATTGCTTAGTAATTCTGTTCACAAATTGACTTATATTAATACATTAATATGTAATATTGTATTATATATTGATACAATACAATGCAAACTGTTTGCAAATTCGTATATATTAATGGTATATTTTTTTAAATGTGTACATCTTAGTTAAATAAAAAATCAGGCTGATATTGTATACCTATGTGGTTCCTATTTATCTATAGCTCATGGAAATATGTGAGCAATTTCTAAACAGATCTGCCTTTACTTTGATCTGCAGTACTGCATGTATATTTGTAAATACACAATATCTTCAGTTTAAAATAAACTTGGATAAATAAACATGTTGAACATCTGTTTTAGATCAAAGGTACAAATCATTCATCTCTATGTTACTAGTAAACATATTAGAGATAAAATCATTTATTTTATTTTTTAAAAAATATGAAAGCCCTGAAAACTAGAAAAGTAAACAATCAAGAAAGTAAACCTAATATGCTAGCTCCTTTCTCATCTGGGAAACTAGAAACAATGTTCAGCAATTCGCTAATGTGTTACATATCTCTATGTTACTTGACCATGATTCTGAAGTATCAGCAATTGATTAACAAGTTAACCACAACTTGTTCTTCAATACATATCAAATTATATTATATTCTATGCTAGCATATGATTATTTACCATGTATCTTATACTCTTAAATGACGTCAAGTTACAGGAGGTTGTATGCCCCCTTTTCTTAATTATTAACATTTTATGATAAGAGTATTCAGTTATTATTTTGAGAATATATAATATTGATTATGGAGCCATAGGATAGAAAAATATGACATATTGACATATGCCAGCAAACAAATATTTCTGAAAGGTTTCCAGGACACAAATAATTTATTTCCTGAAAATCAGTTCAGGCAAAACCTCAATAGTATTGGATAAATAATAGAAATATCCAGTTAGTTAACAATGAAATGATCTCAATTGTCCCCATTCCCAACTGACATTTTATGTATTTTCAGTGTTTGGGGGAATATAAATGCCATATCCATGTTTGATTTCATAACATTAAATTTTAAAGTTGTTTGTCACTGGTTTCATTGATGGAA